CTTTCCCTTTTCTGCTCTCAGGAGACTAGTTCTCCAGAAAGTGGGGTTTGAGATTTGGGAGTACTTGTTAAGAAAGATGGGATATGGTAGAACACTTTACAACTGTGTTAGGGTCAGACCTCAGAATCATATTTTCACTTCTGAGACCCTTCCTCAGCTGACTTTCACAAATGAGGCTTGTGAAGCATCGGTGCCATTTGAAGACAATCTTACTCTTGTGCTTTTACAAGGAAGAAACAGATCTATTTTGAAAGTAACCAGTCTACAGAATATTGTTCCAAATAAATTATGATATCAGTCATCATACCTGATGTTTTGGTCTGCTGTTTGCTGTTGGAGCCCGAGTACTGTGGTCTGTGCTGTTTGCATTGTTCTAAAGTATGTCTGAGTTTCACTCTGACTGCTATCCCCAGGGCCCTCATGAAGAACGGATTCATATCTCATGAGATTACCCCACTGAGCAAAGAAATGAAATAAATAATATTACTTTTTTAGTTCTGTCAAGTACAGTAGCTCATAGAGCCTTTCAAGGCAGTGTCAGCATGGGTTAGATACTGCATCCGTGCATAAAAAGACATCCTTTACAAGAACAGCACTGCAAAATGAGGCCAATGTGAGCCTAATGGGTGGTGGAAAACAGTGAGCCTTTTTTTTTTCCCCCTCCCTAATGCAAGCCTGCAGGGGTTTATTTTCCAGCATGTGTGAGTCTTGGGGCAAATCAGCTTGCTGAAATTCTTCTACAACAGGAGCTCTGAGTAAATCACTGTAGTAGTAGGGATCTTATTTGGGAACCAATTAGAGCTTGTGCTGGTTGTTTCTCCTTGGCAACTTTAATGAATCTATCAACACAGAAGTACTAGGAAATAAAAGATTTTACGGTAGTCTCCATTAGGATGAAGCCCACAGGCTATCCAGTTCCTTCCACAGTACAATACAATGCTTCAAAAAGACAGAAAAGGTTGTTATGATAACTTAGTCATGTGTGAAGAACCAGGAGAGCTAAAATGAGTTTAATAATTTTATCGTACTGTAACTTTAGGAAGAAATATTCCCCAGAACAATTGCTCTTCCTTACACTGCAGAAAATCTTGCAAAAACCCACTTGAAATGTGTCTGTCAATGCAAACTAACTCAAACACGGTAAATTTCAAAATCTCGTATTATCATTACAGAGAATAAACTCCCTTTTCTTTTTATTTGTCCACCAGTCCTTTCACCCAGTGCCTTAGACATATTTTTATAATTGAATTTCACAGCATATCTCTGAAATACATTATGACATTTGATCCTATTTTATCTAAAAATCACAGATACTCCTTGTCGTATCATATAATTTCTGGTCTTTGGCAAAGCTGTGCAATAACCTCACAATTATCTGTTGTACCCTATCTGGTGCTAGGACTTAGCTTCTGTTTCAGTTAACCCTTTAGCGCACTCCAAACTGATAGAGTCTATTTAAGAAAAATAGCATAATGCTGTCCAGAGAAATGGAGGAAGAAAAGGAATAAACTTAGAGAAGTCAGTAAGAAGCTGAAGTGCTCTTGACAAGGGGAGGTCTGTAACCATGTAAACATGTAGTGCTATTTTTATTGTTATTGTCCTTTATCGTCGCATACATCGAAACAAATGAGAACATAATTATCCAATATTAAGCACGTGAATCATGCAAAATGAAAACATAACATAAAATAAAGCATGGCTGTTTAAAAAGCTACCTATGTTTCCGTTTAGGATTTTTCTAGTGTCAGTAGAATAGGAATACTGCTTTTTTGGTGCAATATTTCAAGTCCTGTTTCCACCTTAAGATGATGAACTGTTGCATACAAGCCCTTCAAAGCTGATAAGAAAAAATTGAGACTGTGGTTACAGCTAAAATGCATCTTATGTACCTGGAACTGTTCTTAGCTGTGTATCAGGCAATTAAAGATATTTTTAACTTCCCATCTTTAAAAGGCAATGGACTTGATTTTTTTTTTTCAATATAAAAAGGATATTAAAATATTAAGCATAGGTAAAAGACTATTATAAATGAAACAAATAAGCAAACGAGAGGAATACGAGCGGAGCTTCAGGATGTCGTTCTAGGGTGGTCTTACAGGGTTTTTTTCTAGCACTCTT